AAAACTTAAACAGTAGGGGTCACTGTGTGTTTACTTACTGCTGAAGTGCCTCTTCTGTAACTTTTGAGTTAGGATTTCTACCATCAGGCCCTAATAACTATAAAAAAGTACTTGTCAGAGTATATTTTAAAGAATGTTAATTTCAAAATTCAAATCTTAATTAAAAAGGGAGTTTTTAGAGGGAAATCAGATTATATAACATCAAAACGTACTATTCAGGGTCACACTAAGAAGAGTGCCCCTTTTTTTTACCTGTTTCACTGAAGTAAAATGGGTCAAGATTGGTTTTTTATCAAAATTTGATGCTTACAGTCTGACCACCCTGAGCAAAAATATTAGTTTTAATGCATGATCATGTTTCAGAAAACAGCTTTAACTGAAGACGTATTTGATTTTGTTTATAGTTAATTGAAAAATCGAATTTTAAAATAAAAGCCTAGTGGTTATACTGCTCCTTTTTTTTTTTTTAATTTAGCCTTTATTCAACCCTGTTAGTCCCAATAAGATTAAAAATCTTTTGCAGGAGAGACCTGGCCAAGAGGGCAGCAGCATAGAAGTCACGAGATATAAAATAAAAAAAAATCCAAATTCAAAATATTAGAACTCTCCAAAAACTCTCGCCTAAAAAAAATACACAGAGACATAATTGATTGAAACCCATAGATTGGAGAATATAACTTACCTTTTTTCTTGTTAAAATTCTGATGGAAAAGTAGAGATAACAGTTTTTATACATAAAAGCATACCAGTTAGGGAGGGGTTGGGTGATTTTCTTTCAGCCAGCTGACCGCCAGAAGCTTTTTAACCAGCAATTTCAATCAGTTAAGGGCCAGAAAGGGTAAAATGTTGTCAAATGAAGTGATACTTTGATTTAAGAATTAATAATGCAGAAATAAGGATGTTGAGAAAATATTGATCCACATAATTTGGTTCCTCACATCATTAGCATTAAAAGGGATAGCTTATGATGAGTTCTTAATGAAAACCCAAATGGAGAGAAAGGATCAGTGTTATAGTTTGTGTCTAAAACAAATTAAATCCAAAAATCTGATTAAATACAGCGATACTTGTCCTTTTAAAGGCAAACATTCAGAGGAAAAGATTAAGAATATCTTGCTTCTTGTTTTAAACATGTAAAGATCAATTTGATCTTTAAAAAAAAAGAAAAAAAGTACACTAACATATGTATCTACTGTATTTATTAGGCTGACTTGTATTTATTTTTTCAGTATGTTGCAACTGTCCCTCACCCTATCTACTGTCCTAAAACTAGCTAGCTTAAAACATGAGTCTTTCCCTTATTGCATATGACTGAAGCCAAAAACAGCTGATTCAATAAATACTTTTGAGGAATATACACCTTACATATAGATTTTTTTTTATTTTTTTTTATTTGACAAAACAATAGTCAGTTCTAACTGATTTTTTCTATTAATCACATACCATTTGGATAGGAACCCTTTACTTGTTGAGTTTATTTGATAGGGACACTTACTTAACAACATAGACCTTGAAAAAAAACAACAGCTTCATGCTAGCATTATGGTGCCAATATTGTGAACAAATCTGTAGCCCTTGCCTTCAGGGGGGCTTTTATAAACACTATCTAAAACAATACAGTAAATAGTGTAATAATGAAAGGGCTGACATAACATCTAACTGTCTTGTTTTTTTCAATTGTTGGTTCTAAGTTTTCTTTTTGAGTTTTTTATATGTTTAATTTCAATTTTGTGTTGTTTTCTGGTTGTATTTGAGTTCTTTGTATTTCTTGTTTACTCTCTGTTGCTCTCTTGTGTCAGTCTCCTTCTCCTAGCTCCCTTCTAGATCCTTCTGTCCACACCTGCTCCCAATCAGTTCATTACCACAGTCTTTGTTCTGTTTGGCATATATATACTCTGCCTCTTCTGTTACTGTTTGCTAGTTCCTCGTTGTTTCTTCACTCGTCGTGTGTTTTCCTGACGTCTCCTGGTTTTCTGCGTTTTGTTATTTTTGGATTTTTGCCTCAGTTGTCACCATTTGGAATATTAGATCTGTAAGAAACCACTTCTGCTTCCATCTCTGCATTTGGGTCCTTCAAACCTCCTCTCAACCTGACACTAACAGCATATTCAAATACGGACATATACAGCAGACACTAATATATGAGTGAAATGTATAAAACATGATTTCAAGGCTGTTTTGGACACAGCCAGGATTGTTAAATCTTTTCACAGATTTTAAATAAGCAGAGATTAAGTTCACAGAGTGCTTTAAGTGATAAAGGTTTTCCTGAGGCTGCTCTGGTTTATCTACTGCGGTTCTGAAGCTTGTTCATATGTGGTTTAGGGGCACGTCCATTGAGACATTGAAAATTATGTATATCTTTTTAATTTCAAATATATAAAATTTACAATCTATACTATGAAATTTCACCACTTACAGTGTTGAAATCTTCAAGGTCCGATTGTAAAAAACTTTCCAAAGGTCTCACTTTGGGATCACACAATAGCTACATATGACAAGTGTGAGAATAATAAAATTTAAGAACGTCTCTGCACACTCAAAGGTTAGGCATTGTCTTATTTAAAAACACTTCATGTTTGATCTGACAGTCTTGTAGATATTTTTAAAATGACTTTTAAAATTTAACTGGGGATTTAAAATCATTCCCACATATTTGTCTTCTGATCTTTAGTTGAATCCCTGTTAATCTAAAAGTTTTCCTGATTGAGAAAAAAATATATTTTGTTTTTTTTGTTTTCAGCTTCAAACAGTAGTCACAGAAAAGAATGGCTCCTAAGATAGTTCTTTGAGGAATCCCTGTTTTGATTTTTGTGAAAAGATGTTCTAGTATTGTCGATGATGACGCATTGTTTACGATCTTTTAAAAAAATTACTCCAATCAAGACATTGACTGTTCTGAGAAACCAAAGGATGAAAGTTTGGAAATTATTAAATCGTGGTTCACAGTTCTGAAATCTTTTTTTTTTTTTATTGAGGAACACTGCACCAAATTATTCCTCTGCCAAGAGACGGCTTTATCTCTTCCAACTGAAAACAAGTGGTAGTCTCTGTTAATTGGTCATGTCTAAAGACAAATTGGAGAGGGTGTAGAAGGTATTTAATTTTGAGATCTTTCAGAAGATCATTTTTAACATGATAGGAAGGAGATTTATTGGTCTGTGTCGTTTCAAACTTATTATGTGTTCCCTGTTTTTAAAATAGGTCTCACGAGGGCCATTTTTTCATGCTTCAGGAAATATTTATGACATACATTATCCTAAAATTATTACTCTTAATGGAAAACGTGACAAAAAAACAACTGCTAGGTTTGAGCTGTTTTATTTTGCAAAACAATGGGGTTTTTGTATTTTTAACTTATTTCTAACAATTAACTTTATCTGTTTTTCTGGTTTTTTTTAGGTTTTAAATCTTGTATTCTTTACCATAAATGACTCAAGTTAATGTTAATTACATAAATGTTGTTGTTTAATTTAATACATTTTTTAATATAATGTAGTTGATTACAGTATAAACAATTTATTGTATAAAAAGATGTATAATATGTGTTTGTATTTAAATCCATGCCAGGGGCAGAGCTACAGGGGGGCCCGGGGTGGCCATGTACACCCTTACCCAATCCTCTGTGGCCACCCCTACCATTTTTTTCACCTTAATACTGACAGTGGCAGCAGGAATACTCTCAATTTCTTAAAACATTTAAAATTTTCATATATTAACAGTTACTTGACAACAAAAACACTGTGGTTAATTATGCACAACAATATACTAACATTAAAGATAATAAGTACAACATTTATGCTCTTTTCAGAACTAGATTTTGTGTTATATGGGGTAAAGAGAAAATTAAAGTCAGTCTTCAGTAAAATCATAGATAAATAACTATTCTAATAAAAACTTAGTAAATAATAAATTTTTGTAGATATTAGTACTTGTAAATATAAATTTTATGCAGAAGGATTATTGATAAATGTAGGTAAGTAATGACAATGGAAAAAGATGTTTGACCCAGAACTCAAGCCTTTATCCACTAAAACTTTTATCTAGAAGGATGTTTAAATATATGCGTCTATTTGTTAGCAAAGGCTGTATGAAAGTATAGTTTGTCTCAGAGGCTTAGCCACAAAATCCTAATAGGGGTGGCCAGACAATAACCAATGAACATTGAGGGGTGGCCGAAAGGCACCAGAACCTCAGGGTCAATCTACACTGTTCCAACAGGAACACGCACTACATCTATTTTTTCTAAATAAAGACAAACTATACTTTCCTGCAGCCTTTGCTAACAAATAGATGCACATATTTAAACATCAGTGCTGTGTAAATGAAAGGTAAATTCTTTAAGGTTTGAGTTCTGGGGCAAAGATATTTTAAGTGTCATTACCTACTTTTATCAATAATTATAAAAAATTATATTTAAATCTACTAATATCCACATTTAATTATTTTTATTTATTATTAAAGTAGTTACTTATGTATGATTTCACTGAAGACTCCTAGATGACTTGCAGAGGCATATAATTTTATCTTTACCCCAAATAATTCAAAATTTTGTTCTGAAAATAGCATGAATTCTGTATCTATCATCTTTAATTTTGTATATTGATGTGCATAATTAACCGCAGGGTTTCTGTTGTCAAGTAGTTGTTAATATATTAAGAATTTAATAGTTTAATAAGTTTGAACATTCCCCTTCAGAGTATTACTGCTGCCACCGTCTGTATTAGAGGGAAAATTGTAGGGGTGGCCATGGCCCCCTACCTAGCTCCGCCCCTGGCTTATCTTTATTTGGAAAATATGGATGTTGTGTTTGTTCATTGTCCTGTTGGATCAGTATAGAATAACCTTAAGGTTCTGGTGCCTGTCCACTTCGGGCCACCCCTCAGCGTACATTGGTTATTGCCTGGCCACCCTTATGAAAATTTTCTAGCTACGCCTCTGGGCCACGCGACAAAATCTGGCTTCGATAGAGCGTCTGAGAGATGAGCATCTGGAGCGCGTCCCCGCCTCCATCATCATTCCAGCCGCGGGTGCGTGAGACGCAGCAGCGGTCTCGCGCCGCGCAGCCTGTCCGGAGCTCGCTTCCTCCTCCCCTTAAAGCAGAAAGATAATCTCCACAGACGCACCAACAATGGGAGAGCTGGACGCGCGCGGTGGCCACCGCTCCGTTTGCATCATAATTTAAAAACCGACGCACTTGGCTTCACCGCCGGCGAAAATGGCGACGGGGGCAGGCTGGCAGCCTCAGTACAGCACCTCATCCAGCGCCAGCAAATACGCCTCCTCTCCAACAGCATCCAGCATGTTTTACGACGGGAGTTTAACGCTGGAATACACCCCGGACCTGCATCTGAAGATGAGCAAGAAGATAGCCCAGCTGACAAAGGTGTGTGTTTGGAGAGGTGAATGGATGACGTAGATGTAGTGGCTCAGTCATTTAAAGCAAGTGGGGATGTAGATGGAGTAGTACTGTGGAGATTCTGGTGTGGGCTGCAGTGCTGTTTGTAAACATGGTGCTTTGCTCCATGCTTCAGCTTTAATAACACATTTCCATGTTTTTGCATTGCTTTAATGTCAACAATAAATAAAATATATATGTTTATAACTATGGAGGAGCTGCAACACATTAACCTACATTTGTAAACATTCAACATATGCTTAAAAAAAATCCTACTACACTGCTTAACCTTAATTGTTTTACACCAAAGGTTGAAGGATTGATAGAAATTGTATAATCTTGCAGGGATTTGGCTGAGCTGCTTCTTTGTTGTCTACACCTGACACAGTTAGATGATGCAGGCATACTACTGGGTACTAGTAGGAGATTTAAGGTGGCAGCTCCATTTAGAGCATCAAGGCTTGTGGTGTGACCTTGTTGCACCAGAGGAGACAAAAACAGCAGTAAAGGACAGGAGTTTTACATAATCATCATGGTGATATTGTTAGACCAAAACAAACCTGAGAACGAGGATCTTGGATAGTACATTGGCGGCATTAAGATACAAAATGTATAATTTATGATGATGTCATAGCTTCCGTTCTTTGACTATTCTGCTTTAAATTGTATTACTGTATTGTATTTTCTGTTTGTTTTTTTTCTGTTCCTTTAGAGCTGAACTTTAATCATAATGAATTGAATTCAGCTGCTTTGATGAGATCCAGTTCATGATTTTTATTCTTCATAAGTATTCTTGATTTCATTAATAACTGCAAGCCATCCAGGTCTTGGAGTAGGCATGTATAGTGTTTTTCTTAGACTTAGATTTATTTTGTCATTTTGTTTACACAAGTGGAAAACAAAAAGAAATTTCGTTTAGAACAACTCTCTAGACAATTTAATTTATTTTTTTAAGTGCAGCCTTCAAAAATAGTAAAAAAAAAATAGTAATATAAACATATGGCTGTACATTTACAGTTCAAAAATTTCATTTTTTTTTTATAAAATATAATAAATATAATAAAATACACTAAAATAACCAGTTTCACAAAAACATTCTTAAAGGAATAGTACACCCAAAACATGATTAGCCTTCATTTTCTACTCACCCCCATGCTGAACAACACTTTGGAGTACTTTTTTGATATCTCAAATGCATCTGGAGATCTGGGAGGCTTCTTGCTGTCTGCTGACATTCAAATAATGGAGGTCTATGGCGCCCGAGGCAGAAAGGTCCATAAAAGTCCACAAAAAACGTGTCAATATTCCTCCATACTGGTCGTCCAATGTATTCCAAGTGTCCTGAGTGGGTAGCGTCCATAATTTACTCGAAACAAAGTCATTTAGAAGGTTTTTAGAGCATAAACAGTAGTGTATAGGATTTCCTGAAAGCGCGCGCCGGCGCGTTCACGATGCTACGGAAGCCGGCAGACCAAACCAGATGAAAGTGCGCATTCAGCGTCTGCTCTTCCAATAATGCAAGCGTAGAAGAAGAAATGTGCCGTTTACCTGTGCAAAGAAAGAAACAACGAAAGAAAAATGTCTGAGGACTTCAGTGTTGAGGAAGAGCATGAGTTCTTTGCCGAGCTGAATGCGCTGGTTTGGTCTGCCGGCTTCCGTAGCGTCGGGATCGCGCATGTGCGCGCTTTCAGGAAGTCCTATACACTACTGTTTATGCTCTAAAAACATTCTAAATGACTTCGTTTCGAGTAACTTCTGGATGCTACCCACTCAGGACACTTGGAATACATTGGAAGACCAGTATGGAGGAATATTGACACGTTTTTTGTGGACTTTTATGGACCTTTCTGTCTCGGTCACCATAGACCTCCATTATTTGAATGTCAGCAGACAGCAAGAAGCCTCCCAGATCTCCAGATGCATTTGAGATATCAAAAAAGTACTCCAGAGTGTTGTTCAGCATGGGGGTGAGTAGAAAATGAAGGCTAATCATGTTTTGGGTGTAGTATTCCTTTAAATGCTGTGTTGGTTTTTAAGTGACTCGTGCCTACTGTAAGGTTCTACTCTGTTCACGTCAGTCCAGACTAGGGCTGCAACTAACAATAATTTTGCAAATCGATTCATCTGTCGATTATTTTTTTTGATTAGTCGATAAATAATCAGCTAGCAAAAGGTTCCTGTAAGAAGACTTTTAAACCAGGAGACACAAACTTTTCCACTTGAGGAGTTTGATATGGAGCACATTGACGAACAAAAAAGATTTTTATCTTAAATGCAAGATGTTTACATATCTTTTTTTTTTTTTTTTTTTTTACAATTTCAGCATAATTGCTGCTCAAGGTTGGTTTCTCTGTCAGCTAAAGGCACGTTTTAGAGTCCCTACACTCTAACTATAACTATAGACTTAACGATTAATCGATTACTAATTTACTTGATGAATATTTCAATAATCGATTAATCATGATTAATCTGATTAATTGTTTCAGCCCTAGTTTATACCTACTAGCTCAAACAAAAAACAATAATCAACAACAATAGGGATGAGAATAGGTTTCACATATTTAAACAAAAGTGAATAGAAGTTTTTATCATTTATATCAGAGATTATTTTCCAATATTTGCTTTTTTGGCTGATATTGGATCCATTTCTAATACCAGTATAGGATTGGGACATCCCAATTTTTTTTTTTTTTTTAAGCTGCTGTATTTTTATAAACTTTTTTTTAAATTAAACAATGCATTTATTTTTTTTGAAACATGTTTTGTAAGCTCACACCTTTTTTTTTCTTTTTGAGGTGCAGCATGTTAATTTACTTGAGGAATCTCTTCTTAGACTAATTAAAAAACTAATTGCTAGATCAAACCATTACTAAGATAATGACAGCTGGGGTCCTAGTTAAAATGAGATAACACTTTGCTCGAGTCCCAGGGGGTTTTGGGGCACATATCACAGTGTTATCAAGCATCTTTCATATTGCTTTTCTATTAGAAAACTGCAAAAATATAATTTCCAGACTGAAAAAAATCATAGAAGATGCCAGTTTTTCTGGTTGGGATTTTCTGTAGAGGTGTTCAGAGTGAAAAATGGTTTCTGAGTGTCCTCATAGCTTTTTGAGCAGTGCACCAATTAAAGAAGGAACAGATCTGGAGCTTCTTGAATTGTGGATGACATAAATGAAATGTTTGGTTGAGCCTGTCTGAGTGTCTGGTGCAGGAAAACACTGCAGATGTGGAGACACTTCCCTCTTAGAAACTAGCTTCAATTAATCCTTTAATTACTATATATCATGTAAATCCCCTGAAAACAATGAGAGAAGAGTAACAGAGTTATATTAGGGCCACATGCTGCAGTTATTCTCTTCAACTTTTGTGGCTTTTTCTTTAGTTCAATCAATAATCATTGACTCTGGCCTCAGAAGCCTCCCTCCTGGGTGTGCTATTGTCATTGCTTGCATCGCGCCTCCTTCATCCTGTGCAGAGAATCTCAGTATTTAACATCTTGATCTTGATAAAAGGAGTCCTTCTCTAAATCCAATTTATTGGACTCATTTGACGACTTTTGGCTCTTTGTAGTTTTTTTTTCTCGTCTTTTAATGTAAGGCATAGTTAATCTGCAGACTCATTATCGGTCATAATTCACCCCCAGAGATGAATAATTTTTTTCCTGTTGAGAGATTTTAATCTCAAAACCCTCTAAAGATAAATCAGAAATCTCATGGGTTATTTTAAGTGTTCGTTTTCGGATTTTAGCAAAGTAGAAATCCAGTCTAGAACACATGATATTGGTGACCTCAGCATCACCAACATGCCATCACAGCAGTTAATTCCTGCACCTGCATTACAGCCAATATCAGGACCCGTCAACCTTTGGCTCTTTATAAAGGCAAATTAAAAAGTGAGTTTTATTTTTTTTTTTTTTATTGGATATTTATGCATTAACCATGTATTCCAGTGTACTCTACTGTTGATAATAACAAACTAGTTTTATTTTAAGAAACATAACATTACCTAGGCCTAGAGGACTTGGGTTGAAGACCCCAGATCTAGGCTGTGGTGAACTTTCTCTATGAGAAATGATTCTATGTAGAAAAAAAATTATAGTTTGAAAAACAAAGTTTCTCAAGGCAAAAATAACTCCTGCTCCAGCATTAATTAGCACTGCTTAACAAATGTCTATGAAATACAGGACTTCATGTTGGGGAAACATGCGATGATTAAGAAGACTTCACTTTTTTCCTTGGGGCGGGGTTTAACTGCATTAAAATTATATAATTACAAAAACCTAATTACCACAACATGTCTCTCGCACTGCTCTAATGCCTATAATTAGTTTTCATATATTATGATTCTAAAAGGTAACTAATCAGTGACAGGCGGTCAGGGCCTTTAAGGCTCAGTTAGATGTTTACAGCCAAGTTCAGCTAACAACAATCTGAATTTTAGGCAAGGCAAGGCAAGGCAAATTTATTTGTATAGCACAATTCAGTACAAAGACAATGCAAAGTGCTTTACATGATTAAAATACAGGAAGATAAAACAGAATCAAAGCAAGTAGGAAAAAAAATAAATAAATAAAATAAATAAAAAATATAAATAAAATAAAATAAAAAATGCAGAAACAAAAAGAGAATATTAAAAACAGTTGGAAGTTAGGTTTGCTTTTGTTAAAAGTTTTTTATGGCCTCAATGACTGAGACTAAATGAAGATACTAAGACTTCCTGCACAAAGACATAATGATGGGTTTTGTTTATAAATAATCAACATCTCTGGGGAGTGTATATTTTATTTTCATTCTTTATGCATTATTTTAGCTGGTAATTAGATGCTTATTGAATCTGAACGGCTCCTGGTTCTGTAAATGTGGTGGAACTGTGGTTATAAGGTAGAGGATTGTGGTTTTCTTAACATGTCTCCTTTCTTAATTGACCTCTCTATTCATACTCACACTAATCTTCCTCTCAGTTATACCTCCACTTGTTACATTTCATATTTGAATACTCTTGGTGGTTTTAAAAGTAGTGATATTAACTCCTTATGCAACAAACACTTTGTATTATCAAAATAACATGTGCATTCCCTCCCTCAGTGCCAGTTACTGTATTACACATTCTGTGAACAGGAACATTTGGCAAGCTCTTGTTTCTGTTACAACTGGTCTCCAACAGTTTGTTATCATATATCCATATCCATATACTATACTTGTACACATATATTTTTAAATTCAGACATCAAGGGATTAAGAAGAATAGGGTGCACACTGAAGGCCCAAGTACCAGATACACCACTCACCACTGTACTAACTGATGCTTTTCATGTAGTAGGTAAAAGGGAAATCCAAATACTAAGATAGCAGATTAAGTTGAATCTTTCCTCTTTAACTTCCCTCCTATAAAGAGTCCAAACCGCTCTAGCGGATCCAACTATTACTAATACCAAGGTGTAAAGCGTAAACTTTATGGTTACAAACACGTTGTCAGCAGTTGCTTTTGTGGTCTGGCTGTTGACTTTCAGTTCTAGCAGTGGCATGAACTATTTTGTGTTTTCCTGTTACAGTTTTAGTTCTGTTTAAGTTTTCTTGCAAATTGGGCAATAATGAGCAAAATGAAAGATGTTAGTCCTTTTTTATTCCAAAAAACTAGTTAAATCGGGCTGGAAGTTATGTGTCCAACCAGTCTTTTGGTTAAACCAACCTATCTAATTTAGTAGTGCTTTTATCCAATCTATATTGGTAAAAGGGAAAACCAATACAACTTGGTCAGAATGTCCAAAAATAATGTTTAATTAGCATAGCAACTTTCAAAATCTAAGTCAGGTCTTGAACCAACAACCATTGGAATGATGGCAAAGTTTTACAGCTGACACCACTTGTGACAGTAACTGACAATAGTACTATTTCGTAATACTACAGCTGAAACCAGTGGCCTGTTCAGATTTTGATCATTATATTGTTTATTCTAACCAAAATTGTTTTAACTGACTTGTTTGGTTGCATTGGATACACATATTTGGATATATTCTATTGTTAGAATATATCCGAACTCTATCCAACTGACCGCGACTCTCCTACAAACTGCCACATCTTGACAGAATACTAAAGGTGTTTAAATACCTGTTGAAGTTTGCGGTGAGCAGAACCACTTCCCGAAGCATACATGTGGTATGGCGGGGAAGCGAGTCTTTGGACATCAACGATTTTGGCCCCTCCCCTAAATGAAGTAAGCCTCGACATGCGTTTCACTGAAACGCACCTTCCACTTCTTGACACATGCCTCGAAGCCTCAGCTCATCTCATAACATCACTAGTTTGAAGTTTGTCATGCATTTGTCCTGATTTATAGCTACGCATCAAGTTGTAGCTATAGTTCTATTTTTTTGTTGCTTGTTTTTACATTTTTGAGACTGTTTTTATCAAGTTTAAAGCTTCATACGCGTTTAGCCAAAATCCGATTTTTCCAAATGAGGGACTGTTTGACAACATTGATCATTTGTTGAGCAGCATCTATCAGGAATATATTCTAACAGAATTTAATTGCTCTTCAGTTAATATTGTTAAGGAATATTTATGCAAAGCCAGCTTTACCCCAAACAGTACTGCAAGGTCCTTTCCACCCTCTGAGATGTTAAAACAAAGTAGACAGAGTGGGTAGAGAGCAGGAGGGGAAGATGGAGAACATAAAGAGAGAGAGATAAAAGGATGAAAGCACATGGAGATTGAGGAGACCGAGATGAAAGCAGCAGGGATACCAGCATCATTAGAATAATCATGTATAATTGAAGGAACAGTTCCATGGCTGACTCAATGCTGGCAATCCAAGCTCACAGTCAGATAGAGCAGGAAATCACCTTCCTCCATTCTAATATTGACAGCCAAACCATGAGGCACCACTAAAAGATATTCAAGCAGTGATTGCCTTCAGTAAATTTTCATGTGTAGATATCTGACTGACCTGTATGTCGCATCCCTGCTAAAGGTCACTGGGAGTATTAATCGTTAAAGATGACATGTTAGGAAAATGTGGTTTATTGCTAAATGTCCAATATTAAACAGCACCATGCAGCCTGAATTATTGGCTTAAATAAGTTGCAAAACCATGATTGTAGTCTGTATGAACAAACCACCACAGTCATTTTGATGGTCTGGCTGTTAACTCCCTGCTTATTTATTTATTTTTTTTAACCAATTTTGAAATTTTGGTTTAATCACACCCGCCTTCAAACACCTCAGTTTGACAGAGGCTGAGGGATGTGATTCCTCAATAGCTTCACTCATTATTAACCTGACCATGCCAGTCCTGTTCTTCCAGTTCTCAATAAAGTTCCAAATCTAATGCACTACTGTTGCTCAGCGAAGTTCTAATAGCCCTAGGATTTTTCATACTAGTTTAATTTTATTTTGTTGTAACTTTTACTTTTTCCCAGTTCTGTTAGTTTTAATTAGTGTTACCAGTTTGCAGACATAAGTTTGCCAGTTTTTATTATAAGATTTTAATAATACTTAGTTCTAGTTTCCTTTTCAGTAGTTCTAGTACTAGTGTTAGTTTAGTCATGCTTTGGTTAAATTTCAAACACAGGATTGAAAAAAAATCACATTAAAATATTCATGAAATTTTGCATATAAGTAATAGAAACTATATTAGATACCATATAAAAAAAACTGGTTTGAGTCCTATAATCTAACAAATCTATGTAATCTAACAAAAACTTCCAACTGTTTTTAATATTCTTTTTTTGTTTCTGCATTTTTTCCTACTTGCTTTGATTCTGTTTTATCTTCATGTATTTTAATCATGTAAAGCACTTTGCATTGTCTTTGTACTGAATTGTGCTATACAAATAAATTTGCCTTGCCTTGCCTTGCCTATAAACAAAAAAAAGTTACATAAGTTAGCAACTCTTATAAAAATTGATAAACATGAAAAACAAAGGGCATACTGTAAATCTTTCATTCATTATGTTTTGGTAATTTTACAACTATTTATGAGATTTTTGTTTTGTTTTAGTGAAAAGACTTCATCCATACGAATTGACGTATTGTGATGAACAGTTGTACTGAAACTGAAATTTGGATTGCAACGTAAATTGTAGTTTACAATAAAGTAGTTTGATTGATTGATGGTTACATAAATCAACATTGTTTTATTAGAGAAATAGATGTCGTGTAGTGCTGTCGACATGTCCTGGGCTTTATTTTGAAATTTTGCTGCACATTTGTTAAAATTTCTGCTTTTGTGTCTAAAACTACCTGTTTGGCGCGGGCGGCAAAGTGGAGCGGGGCGGTCTTTTCAAAAATCCTCCACTATACCTTTTAGTTTTGTGTCAGGTAGAAACATGACCTGAAGGGTTTTGGGGAAAATAAAAGGTGTATGTCTTGTCATTTCTATTCCAAACTAATGATTTGGCTTTTTTTTTCAATTAGACATTAACTTTATGATTTTTTAAATTTTTTTATTAAGCATGTTTGGTTCAGGTAAGAGATCCGGCTGTTCTGTCCCAAAAATATAATGGCTACTCTGCTCGCCATGTTTGTGTTTCTGTAAGCGCCAGTGTTGCTGCTGCCAATTACAGCTGAAACTGCAACTCTGCCGTGTTTACTCTATTTTTTTTTCTTTCTTTTTTTTTTAATGCAGAAATTTTAGAAATGTGTTGCCGGAAATGAGGGTCTGGAGCAACGTGACTTTTACTTTACTTTTAACAACCTGCTGTGCAGCTTCTTAACCACATCAGTGACCTCTGACATTATGATGGATTCGCCTGCTCCCCTGAACATGGTGCTCTGATTAAGGAGATCTTAGAAGTGTTCCTTCCACAATTCTCGATTGCACATTCACAAAAAAGATGAACTGCTTAATGGTTTTTTTTGTAGAATCATCCCTAAGGAATGACATGCCTTTATCATCTACAGCAATATAAGGTGTTATTTTAATTCATTGGAGAAAATGAGTTTGCAACTTTCCTCCTGTTGTATGCAGTTGCACAGTGTATTATTATGATCACTGGTTGAAGTACGGATGCATTACATGGCCTCAGAAAGCTTTTACAAGACTGCTGCTCCAGTATCGATCCAAAGTGGTGTTAAATGTCGGAAAGCCTCTCGTCATTATTCTTCATGCAGGATATCGTAGAATAGCCATGTCTAATGCAGGCTTTATGTATAAATGAAACATTTAACTTCACCTGTTACTGGAACAAATTTTGGACTGCTCCTGATGGCAGCAGGCCTCTATGTCAGTTGACCATGACCACACATTAGCTTCTCCCCAGGGGGCTACAATCTGAGCTTAAAGCTGTTTAAAGCTTCTGCATATCATTTACCTCCAGCACTCATACAACCTGCTTATATTCCTGAGTCGGAGCACGAGCATGACTGACAAGATGTTATTCACTTAAGCCTGTGCGTGGAGAGTGCAGTAGGAAGAAGAGGGATATTCTCCATCCTGTTTCGGAGCTTGTACTTGGAAGAATTTATTCTCGGCACAATGTTTTGTTAAAGTTGTGATAACGTGTCAGAGTTATTTCAATCTGCCTTTTTTTTGAAAAACCCACATTTATTCCAAAAGGCGAAGAATAACTCATGAGAAAGGTTGAGTTTTATCTTACAGTGTGGACGAGTGCAAAGCCCCGTCTGCCCACAGGTTCAAACATGTTGGCCTCCTTCACTGATGTTATTGGTATTGATTTTTACACAGTTGATCTTTTTTTCTTCTCCTTCTCCTCCTCCTCTGCAGCTATTGATCTCATATTGAAACTGTTAATAAAGGCTTTCTTTCCCATCTCCATGCTGTCGTCTCCTTCTGCCTCCAGGTAATTTATGCTCTCAACACCAAGAACGATGAACATGAAGAGGAAATCGAGTCGCTGAAAGAGGCCCACGAGGATGAGGTACTTTCTAGACTCTTCTCCATCTGTTATTGTCCAGAGCATCAGAATCGGACTTTCTATGTTTAATTGCTTAAGGAACAGGAGGTCATTTTTAACTATACTGGACAAGAATGATTTATGGAAGGGGCGAGTGGTTTTATCTGCAGTCATTCATTTGAATTTGATTTTTTAAAGTTCATCGGCTCACTGTCCTTTATCAAAGAACTGGGTGTTTTTACATTTGTGAAGCAGTTTTTACATAGATTAAATTGTCGGTAACCTCACAATAAGGGTTAGGGGAGCATCAGCTGGTGCATTTAAACTGGCTTTTTCTCATCTAAATTTTGAAGTATGGCATCAGATAAGCTTAATGGAAACAGGTACATTTGCAACAAGTTTTTAAGCTCGTTTGACATGGTTTTCGGTTTCTGCGAAAAAGAGTTATTTGCAAAACAGGAGATGGAAAGACTTTTCGAATCAGCTCCGACATAGCAAACTTTTACCTAATATGATGCGCAACATGGCCATTACTAGCTGACAAATAGCAACGGATTCGTTAAAACGTTCCTCCATTACTGATCTGTGGTCAGTTCTTGATAGCACTCTCTACTTCCTGGTTATGACCACAATGAGTGACGATGATCTGTGGACGACGATGTATGACAACTTTACACTTTGTGTCACTTAGCATGCTTCAAACCAGATTAAAACTCAGCAAAATTATTTAGAAACTTTTAAACTTTTGCTTAAATTAATGGAAACATGGCTAGTTATGTATTGAATAATACAAGCTTGAAAACCTGTTTAATGTGGATTATGCTATATATATTATGCTATTTAATAGAAACCACTTTAGTTGGATGATACAACCAGATGACGCAGATGTTTGCACAAAAAACAAGCTAAAAGTCTTAGTTTCTTAGAAGCATTACCTACCCATCATCATGAGGAAAAGATAGATTTTACTCCTCCTATTTTACTATGTGCTACTTAAATATATAAACTTCCTTTCCTTGAGATTTTATCTTGGGATTCAAAGGCCCTGGACTATTGAAAACAGGTGCTTTATTGATAACTCATGCAAAACTAATTTACCGGCCTGAATATAGCTATAAATGTGGCTTCAGCAAAATGGGAAACACAAAATGTTGGTGATGGTTTTGCCTAAAAGGAGGCATGTTGCTGTCTGGATGGATCATTCCAGCACACTAAAGCTCTTAGTGGCATATTCCAGAATACACTATGGTCTGCTCTGCATTGACACCACAGGTCTTTGTTGTTATTCAAACTGCACTGGGAAAGACATGATTTGTTGGAGAAATTAACATGAAAGTTTTTGCCTTGTATCGTCAGTATTCTGTTATTAAATCATTTTTTTAAACTTCTGCTAGCAAACAGTTTTTCCCTTTTCTTTTACATAACAAAGTAATGTTGTCTTTAATACAATCATTTAAAAAGGCAATAGAAATTCTTAATGCAGTTACAAAACAGCTTTTTTTTACCTTCAGGGATATCCTGAGAGATGATGTGATGCCGTTTCTATGTGACATCGCTTTTTAGCAATAGAACAAAAAAACAGGTGACTGGTAACAAAATTTGCAATCATTCAGATGCCAGAAGCTACTCTGCCTGAGTTCATGCCTCCAAGTCATCTTATAACCATTATGCCCTGATAACAGGGAAGACCTTTTCTCTTCTTTTCTGCCTACATTAAGTCCAGCCTGGGATCATACCTTCCATCTGTTCTCAGTGCTGTTTCAAATTGACTTTGCTTTTGGGATGGAAAAACTAAATCATCTCTGCCATTCTGATCTCTCAACGAAATGATGCAGTAAAATAGGAACTTTTTTTTTTTTATTCTTTTTTTATTGTTATTTTCATTGTTAAACAATTCATCATTCATCTCCAGCGACAACAGCATTGTCTAGCTAGACATCCGCAATTCCAGATAGTGATGGTTGGTTCTCCCTCTATCACACAGACACAAAAAAAAAGAAATTAATAACACTTCTGTTATACAATGTAAGTAAATAATTAACTGATGCATAAGGGTTGAAAAGGAAAGGCATAGAAAAAAAGAGGAAGAAGGGGGAAATGGATACAAGAGCTATACAAAGGATGGATGGATTGAGGTGACAGATCTGATCTTTCTTTCCCATCTTTTCATAAACAAATCCCTATTTAGTCTTAAAACAAAAGTAATTCTTTCCATCTTAAAGATATTGCAAATAATGACAAACAATTTCTCCACTGCATGTATTTCTATTTTTAGTCACTTTCTTGTTACAGCTTTTCTAGAAGCCACACTTAGTATCTAAAATTAGATTATACATTTTGTGATGGTAAAACACCAAAATATGATGACAAAAACTCAAAATTAATACCTGTCTGAAATGCATTTTAGATAATCTTGTTGATCTCCTGCAAGAAAGGTAACAATATTGGACAAGACCAGAATATGTGATACTGATTCGCTTCCAGGCCCCCACATTGTTTTCAACATATTGATGAATTGGTATAGGGTCTTTTTTGAACCGGAGTGAGAAAGAATCTATTAAGGGTTTCCCAACAAAACTCTCACACAGGAACTGTTTTACAATTTGATAAAGCAGTTTTGCCACTGATATCCATTATGTATTAAACTCCCCCATTAATTACACATTTATTTTATTCCTGCAAGAAATTAAGAGCCTATTATTTGGGATCATAGTAGATAAGGGTAAAAAAACACCCTGTTACACCCTGGACAGGTCTCCAGTCCATCACAGGTCAACACAAAATTTAGAGAAGCCAATTAACCTAACAGTCATATTTTTGGACTGTGGGAGGAAGCCAGAGTACCTGGAGAGAACCCACACATGCTCAGGGAGAACAAGACCTTCTTGATGCAAGGCAGTAGTGCTACCCACTGAGCCACTGAGCTGCTCTATAAACTATTTTCTGCATAATAAAGTCATGATGCTGATGTTAAAGAAATAAGAAACAACAAAGACTTTTAGATCTTGAGATGTTTGCTTTATTAAATGGAATTTAGAAAACAAAATTCACTTTTTTTAAAATGAAATAATGAAATGAATGACAAGAAAATCTGTTTGAGACTTTTCATCTTTAGATGAAAGAGAAGAAATTTAAGATATCTTTTCTAAGTTGGATGATTATATTATTTTTTTAATGTTAGTAGGGTTCACTGTTCCAAAACTAATTCTGATCTAGAGCCTTCTGTGTTTCTAAGCTGATTTTGTTTTTTTAGCATCACGGTGAGTTCAGCTAAAGAATTGCCTCTAACGTTGCCTCTAGCTCTTTTTCAAATGTCGCATACTTCAGCATGCAATGTCGCAGCAGTAACATCTTCCTCTGATGGACTGCTCACTGCTTTATCATTATGACAGTGGAAAGGGTTCAGGATCAGAAATGTGTTATACTTAGGAGATTTTCTGTTGTAATTTAACTTGAACACTTCAATCCTAACCGACAGAGAGAAAAGGCTTTAAGACTTGTTAACGTGTTTATTGTTATTAGGAATAAAGTCAGCGAAAGCTTCAAAAACGCTATGAAATATTGTGTTTACTTCATTAGTTATTCCATGTGTAATGCATTTTAAATGAGGGACATTTCTTCCTTGTTAAACATTTTATAGAGTTCACATTAATCTAAATTATTTTATTAGGTTCTGTTACTCACATAATATGTATTCATTATTGCCCAGAGTTATACAACAATTACACTAATAGTTTATTTTGCAACTATTTATAAAAGATAATCGGTTTTAAATTAAAAATGAATCTTTTTGCTCTTGCTCAGGTCCAACACATAGTGACAGAAACCAGAGACAAGATCATGCAGTACAAGAGCAAAATGGCGGACGAGGCGGACCTGAGGCGGCGGCTGGCCAGTCTGGAGGAATCTGTCGAGCTCCACGACCACATGAAGAGACAGGTCAGCGAGTGCCGCCGGGAAGCTGGGCTTTGCATACATAAAGCTTCACACAGGCTTTGGTTACATTGGCTGATCTCTCTCACAAGCAGGCCTTAGCAGAGTTTGAGATGTACAGACAGAGGATGGAGGATTCGCAGCTCTGCACTGAGGCCCAGCATACCCAGAGAGTGGTTTCTATGAGCAGAGAGGTGAGACTTTCTTTAAAAAAAATAATAAAATCAATCAAATGATAAAAACATGAACTCGAACTTTACTTACTAAGTTGCAAAGTGTAAAAAGAGATTTGCGTCATACTGCATGCTTAGATAAAGCAGTTTAATGAACATACCACTGCATTCCAGCAGCGTTGTTGAAATCTGCCACTTATTCAATGAGATTAACACATTTTAAATGTGCAATAAATGCACAAATTGTACACAGACTCAGCCCCCGTGTACCTGGAGCTATTCGTCTCTGCCTAAAACCCTGTAATGCAACATGGCTGACACAGCATCCTTTTTAGTGGAAATGCTGCTAAAAATGTGTTATAGGGGATAAAGGATCAATATAAACCTAAACATCACTCATTAATTTGATTTTAAAAGAGAAACTCCTTATATTAATTTCACGTGGTTTCAATAATTTTAAGCATTTATTTCTGTTTGGTTGGTGATGTTCTTATAGCTGTTAAATCCCCCCAAAAAACAAAAAGCATTTCTTAGGGAATTCTATGAAATCATGGAAATCGTGGTTTTTTTATAGACAGAAGTTATATTATCCCTGTTTTATGGCCTCTAAAATCCTAAGTAAGACTTCTTAAAATCCTTTTTAATTGGAGAAAGCCACAGTGGGTCTTCATTATCAAAGCTGGCTGTCCATAGTGCTGTGGCCTTGAATGTTGGGGAAAATTGGGTTGAAGGAAAACAGTTTGAAGATGCTGATTCTATTTTCAAGCATTACCTGACACTTATCCATACTGCCAAAGGTACCACCATTCTTTTTAAGGAGCATGGTTTCCCTTAGCTGGACTTAATCTGAAAGCTAGCCTGACTCAAACTCTATAGAGATTCAATTCAGTTTTTTCAGAAGGGGGATGAGACATCAAACCAAATGTTGAAGCCGATCTGAAGGCTGCTATCAAAGCAACCTGGGCTTCCTTTCATTCGAGGGCTTGTCGCCATGCCAAACTAAATTGTTGCAGTAAAACCTGCAAAAAGAAGCCTGAATGCAGGGCTGTACATGGATAAATGCAAGACATTTTCATTGGTTTTACTTTTTACAAGGGGGTCTGAATACAAACCTGGCAGAATTGAACAAAAAAAAGTATTTACAAAAATTGAAACAGATAAATGTAATGAAAGTAATATTTTTCTCAGTGTAACATAATGCCACTGCAGTTAAATGAAGTATTTATTAGTCTGAGGACTTGTATTACTAACTAAATTTAACCAAAATAATTCAGCTCATTGTAAGAAAGTAAAAAATCCACTCTCGCATTACTTTCAATAGTCCAGCTGAACAGTTATGTAGCGCTTAATGGTGTCTTAATTACTATTTAAGTAGCAAAAGTCAGTAGAATAACATAAGTGCCCCAGAAAACAGGCATGGCATATCATCAGGCAGCTTTGATCTCCCACCCTGCTGCTTTTCTTTTTTCGTAACCTCTAAAGCTTAATGCCGCTTTAAGCAAATATGCATCTTTTTTTTAAGCGTTTTTTTACACAACACTTTAGGCAGGAAGTGGAATTTTTGCTGAATTAATTTAGTCCAACATAATAAGGAGATGTTAGAAGTTAGCTGTAACTCTCATGACTGCTATGAGGGGATCAGATAAAAAAGCAATAAATATCTCATCATATCATATGTCATATCACTCCACTGCAAGGCACAATCCCATGTTGTTTGGTTTGATGCTAATAAGCATAAATGGTCTGTTTAAGAGGCTTATCTCATCGACGGTCTTCGTCTTCTGTTTCATCAGGACTTTAACCACAACCAGTCTACTCGGGTCACAAAACATTACATCACATGTTATATTTTTACATGTTTTTTTCATTTAAATACTAGAGATGTTCCAGGCTTTTTAGTATTCAGATAAATTTGCTAAACTTTTCTATTTGTCGTCTCGTTCTGAACCACAACTGAAGGTCTTTTTTTGGGAACAATGTAGCAGGTAACTGTGACGTGGAGGAAAAATGATTTTTTTATGTTATACTTTTTTGGTTGTTGAATTATTTAATGGGGGTGATGCATTGGGCTAAGCTCCTTGTCTACAAAACTAAAGAAAAGTATTTTCTTGATCTCCGTTTCCTTTGTCCTTCCTAGTATCCCTCCTCTCTTGCTTTCTTTTGTTTCCTTCATTTTCTTTCTATCTCTTCATTGTTTCCTTCTGGGTATACTATCCACTTTCTTTATCTCTTATTTGTATCCATTCTCTCCTTCCTTGTTTCTTTCCCTCCAGTTTGAGATTGCACCTCATTTAACCCTATGCAGGTGTATGCCATAAATCCATGGGGATATTTTTCATTGAAATATTAAAAATACTGCAAAGGAGAAAGAGGCCAGAAAAAGAATTAACCCTGATAAGTATTTACCCCAAATATGTTCTATTTTAGGGGATGTAGTATAATGTGCATTTTGCGTCCAACTAAAATAATCAGTTTTGGTCTTATCACAGAAGCTAGCTGCCTAAATATTTGGATGTAGCTTTTGGTGAAATAACAAACGGAGATTCCATTTTTTTTCCCACTGTCTTTGTCACTTCCCTTCAAAGACTGGATTTGCAATATACAACTAATAAAGTTCCTGAAAGATTTCAAAAATCATTATGTTCTCATATTTTCTTGTATTTTCTCATCATAGCGGGCCTGTATTTAGGATTGTTACAACTATCAATGCTGTACCCGATTTTATTTAATTCAGTTTATTTATTTTAGACAATTCATAACACATAGCATCCCAAGGCACTTGATAGACAGAATGCAATCAAATCATATTGATTGGTTACAAGTTTTCAATCTAAGCAAACCCAGCTGATTGCATCCAGTCATTGATTTTGGAAGATTCACGCCTTCTGTATTAGCATGTAGTGACAGTAGACATTTACTTGCATTGTGCCATTGATGCTACAGCAATACCTCACACCAATCATGCATGTTGCAATAGTGAAGAGTTAAAACTCCCTTTTCAAAGGAAGAAAACTCCAGCAGAGCCTGGCTGAGTGTGAGCGGCCTTCTGGGGTTCAAGAAGGCATAAGCAGATAAATGAACATAGAAGCAGAATACTTTCCATGTTGGAGAACTGTAAACTAGCTCCAAAGGTGGATCTGTTTAGGAATGAAACAGCTGAGCGGCTAAGGCCACATCCACTTGGTAAAAAATAAAAGGTTACCCCATAGTTGCTGGTGAAGATTCCCAGTCATCCAGGTCACGGTCACAACCAATACCTGTCTATGTCTCTGAAAGGGGAGTTGTTAGAGGGAATTGTTGACCTGGCTTAACAGGCGAGATGTTCTGCTCCCCTATAGACAGGCATTGGGTATTACAGGCTAACAAAGAACCCAAACGACTGCCCATTCCTAAGGGGCGGACCCATTCATCCGGTTCAATTTGCATGTTTTCTAAGCCAAAACTAGGCTTTTTTCATGAAAACGCAGACAGATGGACCCAGTATTCAAGGAAAGATAGTCAGTCGGAAAGTTCAAAACGTTTATTAAATGAACAAACAAAACAAATGCGGAGCTGTGGCTCTTGGACACTGCAGGATGGGGAGCGGGGCAGGAGGGTTCAGAGTCTGACAGGGTCCGAAAGCGTGACCGGGGTGGTCACGCACAGGAGCAGACAGGATCAGGTGCAGATGAGCAGGCTCAGTGGAAAAGGGTAGCCGAGACAGGACGTGGAACCAGAACTTGATGCAGGACCTTTAAACTGGTCTCCACCTTGGAGCCAGGCTTACTTGGATAAAAACGGAACCTTCCCGCATATAGAGCCAAAAACCCAGAGGACTCAGCAGGGGAGGAACAGAAGACGATTAGGAGACAAGACAGACACAAAACTCTCTATCCACTGGCCGCCAGGATCCAGGACAGGAACCAAGAAACAAACTGAACAGACAGGTTAACAGAAAAACAGTTAATGATCTGGCACTGAATGCTCAGGCTGAACTGAACATAACCAAGAGGAAACAGGTGAAAGGTATAAATTATAATTGAGGCAGGGAGGGGAAAACAACAGGTGAAAGGAATGACTAATTAAAGGGAGAGCAAACAGGCCAGATCATGACAGCTTTGTTTGTTGTCCAATCTATAAATCGAACTCAACGCTATTTCCGACATTTTGAATTGAAAAAGCTTCCTGGATGAGAAGCGAAACATTTTCAAACTTGGACACAAAGTCCAGTGGATCGTTTTTTACCATTTTTGGAGTCTAGGAGAACAACAGTACCAAACACTTTTCAGAAACTAGAGGTTTATATGCCATAACCAGCAGAAGGCAGTGAGGACATTGTGACAAAGGAAAATAAAGGAGAGGACTGATAAATCACACCCAATTTTCAACATAAATACCAGAATAGTTTTGTTTTTTGGCTGCTCAGCCTGTTTGCATTTACTTATGTTTTATTTAAGCCCTGCAGAGTAAAAGGCGCTAAGGAATTTCCCATTATTTTAGTAAATACGAGTACCTATAAATCATTTTCCTTCCACTTCTCAATTATGTGCTACTTTGAGTTTATTGTTTGCAAGAATCCCAGAATGTTCTCAGCTTTCTGGTTTTAATATGAGAAAATGTTGAAAAGTTTAGGCGGTATAATGACTTAAAGACCCTGCATGCCTGCATAGCACATCGTTAGATTTAAACTTCTTCTGTAACAGGATATTTCTTGGTCGCCAGTGAAAGTCCAAACGGCATAGATCATGTTTCGTGGTTTCAATAGGTGGAAGAGATGCGTCGCGATTTTGAGGAGAAGCTTCGGGTGTTCAGCCAGGCTCAGGCCCAGTTTGAGGCAGATAAACGGCGAGCACTGGACGAGCTGAGGGCCACCCACCGGCATGAGGTGGAGGAGCTCCGCAACAACCAGCAGAACCACACTGCGACCTCTGCCGAGGACCAGGAGAAACTGGCCGAGCTGCATAGACAAGAGGTGGGCCACGAGTACGGAAGATTAGGTCTGCTGTTCAAGATCCACATGGCTTAGTGCAAAGATCACACGGATGGTTAATCAGTTGAAACTGCAGTTTTGGAGGTTAAATTTTATAGGAACTGGAAAAAAAATATTTATTTGTTATTTTTTTTATATTTAATCCAAAAATGTTAGAATCCAACCATAGACCGTTTTATGCATGTCATTTCACTTTTTTTCCTTTCACCTCGTTTGAACACACACTTAAAACATATTAGGAGGAAAAAAAATCAGTAAATAAACCCCAAATCTTCAAAATTGATAGTTTATTAAAAAGGAAATCTTTGATGGAATTTGGTAGTGTAATCCTGGCAAGCTGGAATAGAACAGACAAGATCTTCTGTCTGTGTAGGTGGAGGCTTTGATGGACAGGTTGGAGGAGCTGTCGAAGGATAAGGTCCGTCTGGTGGAGGAGTACGAGGCCAAGCTGGCCAAGGCTCAGGAGTACTATGAGAGAGAGCTGGAGGCCATGAGGAGGACGCACCAGCTGACCACCGAGAACCTGCTGGCCTGGAAGAGGACGGAGGTGAGAGCACAGCACAAGAAGACAAACAGATTACAGCTTTGGCCATTTGTCATGTGTCTCTTCTCCTGTTTAGGTGGAGCTGCGGAAGGAGTTCCAAGCTCAGGAGGCAGCGCTGCAGCGTTCGCTGTCCAAGCTGAGGAGCGAGCTTCAGAAAGCTCAGGAGGAAGCCCGGGAGAACCGGGACAAAACCAACAGACTGCAGACATCACTAGCCAACGCAGAGGGAACCATTAAGGTGTGTCAAAATGCTGCATATTCATGTCCTCTGGAAGTGGGGGTGCTGGAGGTCCTGCAGCTACCATTAGTGGCGAGAGGGAGATAAAAACATATATATATTAGAAATACTTTGCACAATTTATAGATTTTTTATGAATATTTTGGGAAATAGATTTTTCTATTTTTGCTATTACGTACATATGGATTTTAATTTAATTATTTTGAGGAATTTTCGTTGTCATGGCAACGTCAAGCAACCAACTGCTCATTGAGTAAAAAGGTATCCCACTCGCAGCAGCAGACTAGTCAATTCACATACTCTTATGACAGAAACTAGGAGGAAATATGGCACAGAAATGCATTTCGTATTTTTTTGTAGGAAAACTACTAGTGAAGAAGAACACTAGTACTCCAACCATGACAGCGGAGAGCAACGGGAGTGAGGAGACTGTCTGCCTCTGATGGCAGTGAAGTTTAATAAGAGTGCTTATATGCACCTGAGACCTTTATTGTCATATACAATGAAGTTTATATGACAGTAAAGTAGTGAATCTTAATCTATTTATATGTTTATTTATTTTATTTTAAATAGGTCTATAGGTTAATGGGTCTTTTGTCCAAAAAATAAAAAAATTCACTTTATCCCCTGTTCAAAATAACTTCCAGCGGCCCTGTGCATGTTTTTATTTTTAGGTTTTTAGCGTAAAAAAACTATAGATACACCAAAAATGAAGAGAAATTGTTCAAAAATCTTTCTTTATCTGGTTAAAGCCTGGTGAAATTGGGTTAAATTGAATGAAAAAGTATTGCTGAAAACTAAAGCACAAGTAAAGGCCTTAGGGTAGAATCAGTTTAGGAGACTTTCAGATCAGGAGGAAAAGGTAATGTAGTGTGGTATGACAGAGCTGCAGGCTCATGTGCATGGTGCATATGCGTGTGGGGGAGGGGGACTCAAACTGTGGCGTCATGAATGTGTGTTTTGCAGAACCTGCACAAGCAGCTGGAAGAAGCCATCCAGGATGGAGAAATCTGGGTGATGCAGCTGAAGGACACAGAGTATGAACTGGAGAGCAGCAGGGAACGAGTTCAGCAGCAGGCTACGGAGATCCTCCACAAAGCCAGTAAGATGTTGGAAATTAGAGGCTTTTTATTTTGTTTTGAATGCTGCATGAAAATAAGTTAGACTTATGAAGTTTAAGTTTTAACTTAAGGAAGGGTTAGATTTCCATAAGTCTAACCAAAAGTGCATTAAGAGTTTAAATAACTGATTAAAACTGAATGAATTTTGAGAGAATTAGCTTCATTTTTGATTAGCGTTAATTAAAAATGCATTCATATAAGAGCTAGTTTCTATATGGAGTTTTTTCTTTTTTCCATTTTCTTTCTTTTTTTTCTTTTTTGGCTTTTTGCCCATCCCTAACCCATTACGCCAGCAGATGACAGGCCGTGTGTGTTGCTGCAGAATTTTATTTACATAATTCTTTTTGGTATATGAGTAGTAGGGGGGGAGCGGCGGCCGAGTGGTTTGGGCATAGAGCTTGGAATCTTGAGGGTCTGAGTTTGAGCCCCACTCCCAGTGACTGACACACTGTATCCATGAGCAAAAGACCCTTAACCTCACACTGCTCCCTGAGAGCTGCACAATGGCAGCCCACTGCTCCCTAATGGGATAGGTTAAATGCAGAGAGTTGTGACAGTGTAATGACAATAAAAGCTGGAGAAAAAAAGAAGAAATGGAAACGGAGCCAAACGAAAACAAAACATTTTCAAAAAATCAAAAAAAGAAACTACCTTACAAATACACAAAACAAATTCAAAATAAAATATATTGGAAAATCAAAAGTCAAAACTAAATGAGAATAAAAAATAAAAAATAAAACCTCTCAGAATGATTTAAACCTTGGTGCTCAGTTTGCCACCAGCTAGAGATGAACAGATACAGGTTTTTTACTGCTGATTTTAACACTGATTATTTTGACATTATTGTAACCCATCCCTGATTAGTTATGATAAGTTTTTTTTTTTGCATGTGCTTCTCCTTGAAGTAGATATTACCTATTTGCCCTTCATTTAAACAATAAAAATGAACCATTCTTGATTTAAACAAAAATTAACCCAACATTAACAATTGCAAATGGAGGGAGCTGCAATACATTTGCTTTACCTGGTTTAAAACCAACACTGTTTTAAATATGCAGTGTCAAAATACATTGAGTCTTTTAGAGTAATTACAACTGGAGTAAGATAAACACTATGTAGAGAGTTGATTTAACACTAATTCAGAGTGGGACTCTTAAATCGTTACTTTAACACTGAAAAATTATCAGTGAAGGCTGCTGAATGCAGTTTAAAACACAGGCAGAATGTGTATATATAGAAAGAAAAAATATCGGACAGTTTTTCTCTACCTCCAACCCAAACCTGATGGTATACGTGGACATACATTTAAAAAAGACAATTCTTTTGCCTTGGCCTTTAAAAATGAGCAGTAAATTTCTGCTTTTATTAGATACAGCTAACTAGAGTGGAGAATAAAGAGGACTCTTAAACTAGTGGGCTAATTAGAACTACTTGCAGCTTAGAAATAATTGCATAAATATAGTTGGGTATCTAATTCTATAACACGTTTTTGAATGTTCCCGTGGGAGAATTGATTTGAGATTTGATTTAGAAGAGTATTTTGAATTATTGTGTCTGATGTTTTGTCTGCTGTCTATGGAGCCTGTTTGACTGATTCTGGCTGAACTGTTTTCAGGTCAGATTGGTTCCTTGCAGGCCACCCAGATGGCTCACGAGGCGACCATCAGGAACCTGGATCAGGAGCAGAGTCGGCTCAAAGATAAGATCAGCCGACTGGAGGAGGAGAGGGAGGCACTGCTCAATCAAAGCCAGGCGGCCAGCGAACAGCACAAGCAGCAGCTGCTCCAACTGGAGCAGGTGAGGTCATGTTCCTGAAACCGATGCAGTGAAACGTTGAACAGATTGAAGATTAAAATTTCATACTTTTGTGTCTGTACATCAGTCCCTCCGGGAGGAGCATCAGGGCTATGAGAAGGAGCTCTCTAGGCTGAGAGCTCACTATGAGGAGGAGACCCTTCGCTTTAAGGAGGCTCAGGTCAGAGCGCTGGAGGAGCTGGAGGAGAAGCACAGGAACATGAGGGAGGAGGCTGAGCAGGAGAAAGAGGATGAGAAGAAACTCCTCGTTACGGTGCGTCTCCTAAATGTATTTAATTTACAATGTTTACTTAATTAGTTTCCTTTTTTTCCCATTAATTTCAACCCCCCGTTTACCTTGATGTCCATAAATAAATCCAATTTGGGCAAATGTCTTTGAAGGTTTTCTTATCAATAAAGGAAATTTAAATGTGATCGAATAAGGTGTTTTTGAATTGAATTATATTAAAATGAAATGGAGTTTACCATTGTCATTCAATTTAAGTGTAAATACAGATAAGGTGGAACAAACCAAGATAGATTTTTGAGCCTAATTTCGTCTAAACACAGCCTTAGATTATGAACTCAGTAGGCTTTGCGTTCCTCAGAAAAACCTAAGGAAACACGTTTCAAGCTTGCTTTGTAGCCTAAGAAAAAATGAAAGCTGAAAATGGTGTGAATACTTCAGCAGTCATTTGATAAAAATGTCACCTATATGAGAAAATATAATGCCATAAAAAATACTATATCCTTTTTCCAACATTAAGGCTTTAGAAAGCATTAACCTCCTCTCTCCCCCTCTGTCATGGGTTTTGACGTCCTTACTCTCTTTGCCCTCGCCACGTTCCTCCTCCATTGTGTCTCAGAGTGTAAAGTAAGAGCATGAGAGGAATACAAATGTCCTCCCTGCTGGAGGAGCTGGAAGAACTACTGATCACATTATGCAGGTTAGATTAATTTAACCTGTACCATTTAACAGAACATCGATGCAGCATTTTTTTTTCTCACAGTTTATTTGAATCTCTTATAAATGAGAGGAGGATTCTTGAGTGTGAAGAAGTTCCAAAACAGTTTAAGCGACTGTGAGAGAAGTGGTCGGTCTGCTCTGTGCATCCGTGCATCCTGGGTTTTGTTCTCTCGTTGCGTTTCTCCCTGACCTGTCTGGTTTGTCCTTGGTTTTCATGATGCTGCTTGCTCTCTATTAAGCCTCCCAAAGCCTTCATGGGACAGCTGCATGTGCATCTAATTAAAAACAGGTAGACTCTGCTTTCTGACAATAACTGAAGTAGGTGGTAGAATACGAATGCATGCAGGATTTTTAAGGTTTAATCTGAAAACTTGGAAAATCAATCATTTTCCTCCCCTTTTTAACAGATGTGTACCGCTGTGTGACTGTTTTACACAAACAATACTTGTGAAATACATATGAACAGTTTTTCAAGGGTTATGTACATTTCATGTAGCTCAAGCTACAGGCTGAAGTAGGGATGCACGATATTGGGATTTTGGCCGATATTTTAAAACTCATGTAGCCGATAACCGATATCGATACTGATGTTAAAGCTGGACAAAAATAAGTAGTCATTGAAAATAGCAGTTTTATTATCCATTTCTGACACTTTGAAAAATAATATACTCAAATATATTTTCATATTCTTATATCAAATTGATTTTTAAAAACGTGGTATCGATCAATTGTACTTTCAAAATCTCATGAAATATCATCATTCTGTTACAAACTCGTGATATTTTGAAAATTCTTGTGAGATTTTGTTAGTAAAATAGATAGATACCGCATCAATATATCAACATATAAAAATATGGCAAAATTTTGTGAATTTTCGAGGGATTTCGTAGCATAACGATGACATATAGCAATATTTCATTAGTAAAAGAGATTGATATGGTGTTTTTAAATGGTAATATATCAGCATATGAAGATATTGTGATATTTTAATGTATAAATATTTATTCCCTTGTCTTTAGAAGTTTTTAAGTCTGTAAAAAAAAAACGTTTTTGAGGAAGAAGTAGTAGTTTTTTTTTTTTTTTTGACTTTAGAAACTCAGAAGCTGATCAAATATCGGGTTAAATATCGGTGGGGTGGCCGATGTCCGATATTCAGTTTTAAGGCCGATACAGGCCGATACCGATAGGGGACCGATTATATCGTGCATCCCTAGGCTGAAGCATTTCTTCATTCTTTACTGGCTTAATTACTCATTCCATTCACCTGTCTAACTCTGCCAGGTTGCTCATTACCTCTCATTTGATCCACCTGCTCCTGCCTCTATTTAAGGTGCTTACATCCAATCGTCAAGGCCAGATTATCTTGTTCTCTCTAGCCAGTGCCGAGAGTGGCTCTAGAGTTCCTTGGTGTTTTTGATTACCTGATCCCAACCTCTGCGCCTGCCTGTTCCCATCTTAACAGTATGCATGAACTTTCTTTGGACTCCTGGAGCTCTGAGCCTTCCTGTTCTGATCTGTTTGCCTGACCTGTCTTTGGACTCCTGCATGTTCTGCGAGGCAGCAGCATCTTGGACACACCGCATCTTGTTGGCAGCCCACTGACTAGAATCAACCTTGTTCTATTCTGTCTTGTTGTGTTTTAAATAAACACTTTTTGAGTAATCCCACTGTCTGTCAGGCCTTAAATACTGGGTCCTTTCTTCTGAACCAAGACAGTTACCTTGTTGGGTATATGAATAATATTTGAAAATGGAATAACAAAAAGCTAAATGTTTCTCTCTAAGAGCCTGACAGCAGCTCATAAATAAAGATTGCTCTTGTGTCCCTGAATCGACCCAACATTTTTTTGAGCTTCAATTGATTTTCAGCCCTCTCCATGTCTCTCACCACATTCCCCTCCTTCATCTCATCTCTCTCAGCTCTGGGCTCGACAACATCACAAGCTTGTTTCTGTGAAGCTGTTTGAAGTTTGGTGCTAATTGGTGTATTTTCACTGACATTAAATCCTGTCTCCGAGCCCAGCGAGGGCGGCGTTGCTTTGTGTTTATAGGGATGGTGAGGAAACAGCACATTATGTAAGCTCTGCACTTTGACTCATCATGTTTAGATGGAGGTCTGTTGTTATTTGGAGGAAACAAGAATACTGGCTCTGTTTGGGTTTTTGTGCTTATCTTCCTCTTTTACTTGACACTTATGATTTTCTCATCCAGTGTATTGAAAGTCCTCATCCACAAATACTCCTTTTATGTATTGATTGATAATTAATCAGCCTTGGTAGGGAATGGATGGGTAAAGAAGCTAAATTCGTTTTTGATTTAATTTTACAGCTTTGCATCTGGTTTATTCATTCCCTGTTGGAACTAATGCACCTTGATAATCTTTTATGCACTCATTTTACAATAAACTAAACATTTTAACATATAAATGCACCATCATTTTTGTAGGGTGCTAAAGTGGATTAAATCTATACACACACCAAAACTAAGATGTGGTATAATTCTATTTATTATCCTATGTTGAAATAGCAGCAACCTGAATGACTAATGACTTGTATTTGTGCAAGTCTCACTTTTCTCTAAATTCTAAGTCATTATGTTTTAACCCCTTGAACCCTACGGACCCACCGGCGGGTCCAGCTGCTATATGACCTCGTAATTTTACCAAACCACCAGTATTGATGTAAAAAACATATTTGGCACAGTTTGGTGACATTTATGGATAAATGTGCCAAAATGGCCTCTCCGCCTAAGAAATTTCTCACTAATACCATTCTAAAATAAATATGATTCATCTTATTGAGTCCACATTTTGTATATTTTTACACAACATTTAGATTTGAAAGTCTGTACTACTTTTTTGTGCTATAAATAATATTTTGGTAGTGTTTTGCAATGTTTATTTCAAAGAAAATTTTGGCGAGGTTCAAAAAATGCAAAATATTTTGTATTTTGTCCCTAATATTTCAGGCAGGGTCAAAGCTACAATGGTGCTGACACCAGAAAACCATTCTATGACATCTTACCTTTACAGACGTACCAAAAGTTTCTTCTTAAATCTAATAGCTTTGAGGCTATAAGTTATTTACTTTTGTGTGTTTTTGTCAGGCAGAAATTTATTTATACCCCCTTAGGGTGTAAGAGGTTAACAACCTCTGACTTAGAGACTTGGACAAACTTTATTGTCTGAAATTTCGTTGCGTACAGCTTGCAGCTTTTTTTTTTCTCATGAACGCCTTGTTTAGCCGTAAAGTTTCTTTAAGCTTACACTACACATGGATTGGGAGTCAAGTTAAAATATGTATTCTGCAGTTAACCTCAATATGCAGATTATTTACTTCTGTTTTTTTATTAAATAAAGTTTTCCCACCTCTTTAACTAATTCACAATTCAGCAAAGGTGTCAAGTAACAAAGTACAAATACCTCCTTACCTTGCTTAAGTAGAAATGTTGGCTATCTTTACTTTACTGGAGTAATTTTTAGACAACTTTCTACTCCTTATAATTATTTGCAATTATCTCTACTTTCTACTCCTTACATGTTAAAAATAGATCTATTAGTTTTGTTTCATTTAATCTAATTTTCGTCATGGTCTGTTGGTTAGTTTTCCAAGATGATGCAAAGTAAATTTGGCACTGACACATGACAGATTAGTTAAAAAACTAAGACAATTAAGTATAAGGAAGTTATCATCCAGAATTGTAGAAAAATTTCCCTTTAATACAGTAGTGCAGTAAAGCATCTGTCCTTAAAGTTTTTTCCTGTATTATTTCTACGTTCATACTGTTAAAAATGGTACTTTTAAACTTTTACTCGAGTAAGAAACTTAAGTTGATACTCTCATTTCCACAAAGGTGTTTTTAAACAGTAGGATTTCTACTTCTACTTGAGGAATAAACGTTAATAATTTTGATACCTCTGCAATCCAGCAGATGCTTCAGTGGTCTGGCTGTTGACTCTATACTCATGTTATAAACATAGCCAATGGCAAGAAGTGTGTTTTAGCCTCATCCCTGAAATTGTGGTTGTTTATTTTGCTTAAAGTATAAAGGATTCCAGATGTTTTCTTATCATGATTAAATAGAGCTAACGAGATAAAAGTTCACCAATATGTCTAGATCCTTTTACTGGGTCCCCCATTAAGCTCTTGCAGATCCATTTGACATGTTCCAGTTAAATGCCTTATTTCCTTGAGCAAATTAGAGTGAGATGCTTAGAAACGGTGCACTTACATAAGGTTCATCTTCATCCGCATATGGTAATACCTTCCGGGTTTGGTTTTCATTACTCAAAAGGCTCCTTAAGTTTCAGAAAAACATGCTTTAATGTATTCACCCACTTTGAAAGTCAATAGAAAATCAGATTTAGATTTGATTCTAGTTTATATGTCTTAGCTCTGAAAAAAAAGGCTCTACAATAAGGAGGATAAATGCATGTTAAACTTCTGGAGTTGTCTTCACAAAGAATCACACTCAGCCATGTAAAAAAAAATGTAAAGAATCTATCAGGATGGGGGGAGCAGTCAAATCTCCACCCATGATAATTTGAGAAGCATGTGGTACGGACACAGCTTTCTGTGGGGCAAATATTTGTACATTCAAGCTCAAATACTCAAACACCGATAAGCATCAGTGTAACACAAGCCGCTGTTATCACTTGCGGTAAAGATTTCTCCTCAGCTTCCGTCTGACTTACACAAAACGAGGGCGGGCTTTATAGCTTGTTCACATTTACACTAAAGGAATATTCCCATGGTTACATTTCACCGCCTCAGAGGGTTAACAGTGTTTTTACATTACTTACTGACTCAGGATTTATCCAGCTGATGCTGCAGAGTTTTCAGGGTTTCAAGTCCTACAATAAAACACCCAAATGGAAATGTCTGTTTTCTGGATGGTTCATTGAATTGAAAAATCAGTGTACACGGAAGTCAGTAGTTTGCATGATCCAGAAGTCATTCTCATGTACAGGTGCTGGTCATAAAATTAGAATATCATGAAAAAGTAGATTGATTTCAGTAATTCCATTTAAAAAGTGAAACTTGTATATTATATTCATACATTACATACAAACTCATATATTTCAGATGTTTATTTTGTTTAATTTTGATGATTACAAATGACAACAAATGAAAATCTCAAATTCATCATATCAGAAAATTAGAATATTACTGAAGACCAATAAAAACAAAGGATTTATAGAAATGTTGGCCAACTGAAAAGTATGAACATGAAAAGTATGAGCATGTACAGCACTCAGTATTTAGTTGGGCCTCCTTTGGCCTGTATTACTGCAGCAATGCGGCGTGGCATGGAGTCGATCAGTCTGTGGCACTGCTCAGGTGTTATGATAGCCCAGGTTGCTCTAATAGTGGCTTTTAGCTCTTCTGAATTGTTGGGTCTGGTGTATTGCATCTTCTTCTTCACAATACCCCATAGATTTTCTATGGGGTTAAGGTCAGGAGAGTTTGCTGGCCAATTAAGAACAGGGATACCATGGTCCTTCAACCAGGTACTGGTAGCTTTGGCACTGTGTGCAGGTGCCAAGTCCTGTTGGAAAATGAAATCTGCATCTCCAAAAAGTTGGTCAGCTGCAGGAAGCATGAAGTGCTCTAAAACTTCCTGGTATGTGGCTGCGTTGACCCTGGACCTCAGAAAACACAATGGACCAACACCAGCAGATGACATGGCACCCCAAACCATCACTGACTGTGGAAACTTTACACTGGACTTCAAGCAACGTGGATGAAGTGCCTCTCTTCTTTCCCTCCAGACTCTGGGACCTTGATTTCCAAAGGAAATGCAAAATTTACTTTCATCAGAGAACATGACTTTGGACCACTCACCAGCAGTCCAGTCCTGTTTCTCTTTAGCCCAGGCAAGACGCTTCTGACGCTGTCTGTGGTTCAAGAGTGGCTTGACACAAGGAATGCGACAGCAGAAACCCATGTCTTTCATACGTCTGTGTGTGGTGGTTCTTGAAGCACTCACTCCAGCTGCAGTCCACTCTTTGTGAATCTCCCCCACATTTTTGAAGGGGTTTTGTTTCACAATCCTCTCCAGGGTGCGGTTATCTCTCTTGCTTGTACACTTTTTTGGACCACATCTTTTCCTTCCCTTCGCCTCTCTATTAATGTGCTTGGACACTGAGCTCTGTGAACAGCCAGCCTCTTTAGCGATGACCTTTTGTGTCTTGCCCTCCTTGTGCAAGGTGTCGATGGTCGTCTTTTGGACAACTGTCAAGTCAGCAGTCTTCCCCATGATTGTGTAGCCTATAGAACTAGACTGAAAGACCATTTAAAGGCTTTTGCAGGTGGTTTGAGTTAATTAGCTGATTAGAGTGTGGCACCAGGGGCCATCAATTTTGAACCTTTTCACAATATTCTAATTTTCTGATATGATGAATTTGAGATTTTCATTTGTTGTCATTTGTAATCATCAAAATTAAACAAAATAAACATCTGAAATATATGAGTTTGTATGTAATGTATGAATATAATATACAAGTTTCACTTTTTAAATGGAATTACTGAAATCAATCTACTTTTTCATGATATTCTAATTTTATGACCAGCACCTGTATATGTAGCATCCTCTGCAATGCATAAATTCAAGAAAGCATAATAAATAGAGCAAATAGTGCAGAAATGACAGGAATCATCAATATTTAATTACTCATTTTCGGTTGATTTGATTGCATGTCCAAGTACAGAAACCTGCTTCTGCAAAGCTGTTGTTACTGTCGGTCATGGCGGAGTTATTGGGAATAAAAAATAAATAAGAAGAGGGGTGAAACTGAGAGTTAAAGGAGATTTTAGGTGAAAGGGTGAAAATTGCTTAGAAAAGGATTTGAAGCTTTGGTTTGGAAAATGAAACAGAGTGATGGTTTTGACGAGATGGCCTTTTAAAATGTAAATGACAACCCATGTGTCTCTTCCTCATCCGATAATACTCTGCCACACTGAACAGCTGCCAGGGATCATTATTACTCCACAAATGAGATTTACTGTAGGGTTGCGTCTGAAATCTGCTCGCTTCATTTTCTTTTGGATACATTTTATTTATAGTTTATTGAAAGCTAAATCCATCGGCAACAATCCATTCAGGATGATTAATAAAACATCTTTTTTGGGGGGGCGCATTTGAATCCTTCTTCTCCTGTCCTGTCCAGAAAATGAGCCAGGAGTTTGAGATTAAACGTCTCTCCCTAGAAGAGCAGAGGGATCGTCTTCAGCAACAACTGGACAACCTGAAAGAGGAGCTAACGGCTAAAGTCAACATGGCCAATCAGGAGGTTTGAGGCTATCATCTGGGTTTGATACACGAGGGTTGATTTTTCGACGCAGATGCTATAAGCTTTACTGTACATTGGTTTCTCTGCAGGTGTCCCACCTGCAGGAGCTGGTGAGGGAGGGGGAGCAGAACCTGAATTCGGCTCAGACGCAGATAGGCTGTCTGAAGGAAACGCAGGAGAAGCTCCGGATAGAGCTGGATGCAACCAGAGGCAGAGTGCGAGAGACCAGCAACATGCTCACAGATCTACAGGTGTGTGACGCTTTAGTGATCTGCTAAAACCAAATAAGTTAATCACGCTTTTCTGCCTAGTACTAAAAACCTTCGCTTTTCCACATGATGATATACTGCTACATTGGTGCATTAGAAAAGGTTTTATATGTATATAATAGCATGTAGATTTTAAAGTCTGTATGATTCAGGTGTTATCTGTACTCGAGGAGTTTGACCTACTGAATAATTCATTATAATATGCAAAAATTGCATGTGTAAATGGTTTCATCTCAGAGGTCCGTCTATTTCACACTTTGATATCTGAAATTTGGAGTTCATAGAGGGAGGAATCCACCGGAACAATCCTATAAGATGGATTCTCCACCCAGAAAATCACAGCAATCTCTCCAATGCTGACCCCCTAGGATCTCAAATGTATAAAGAAGCACCAGTGCTGGGTCTCAAGTCAATGCTGGCTCTTTTGCTCTGAAAACGTCTGATTTCGAGCTGATTTTTGAGAAAACTGTTTTTTTTTTTTCTAAACTGGCCTATCAGCTGGTTCAGAGAGTTAAATGTTTTTTTTTTTTTTTTTTTTATCAGCTAGATAATGGAGCTAGAAGAGTCTCAATATCCACAAATACACAATAAAAGACCCATGCATGCACAGAAAAAAATCCACACACATGCAGGACAAGATCTAATCATGCACACCAAATTCACATATGCATAAGGATTCAAACAAGCACACACACACACACAGTTTAAGCATTGTGGATCTTGTCCTGCGCATGCATGGGTTTTGTGCTGATATTAGGACTCCTTTAGCTTCATACATTAGTTCATGATCTGACCTAGAGGCTTAATTTTAATTTTTTTTTTACAAGATTGCTCTCTATTGAGGTCCGCATCACTATTGTATTCCAGCCAAACCCTACCAATATAGAGACTTGCATCCTGTCTAAGCACACCTGGATCCTTAACTTCCTTTTTTCAGACTCTTCCCCTGATGCGATTCAGACATGTTGGCCCTCTTTCAATGATCGCATCAGTTCAGGGAGTTTGCAGATGATGGAGGAAGTTTCTGGAGTCGAGATACTGTAGGGGGATTGAAAAATGGAGAATGGGATGGCTGAAAAAACATTTGAAAAAGCAGAACAGGAGGAAATGAAAGAAACAAGTGGCGTGCTGAAGGCCAGCTGTGGGATAATGATGATGAAGCTATTATGAGATGAGTGGCCTTGCGTGTGAAAGGAGCCCTGCTGATATGAGCTCTTTGAGCATATATGTAGTAGGGAACACGCTGTTTAGGAAGGATGGACTATATTTCAATGATAATTGGGACCATCAATACCATCATGCAGTTTAGCTATATTATAATAATTTTGCTGCTGCCTGAATTTAAGTGAAAAAGGGAGATGCGACAGAGAAGTGAGCTGCAACCGAGAAAATGAAAAGGAAGATTGAATGAAAAAGCAATGATTAGCTGAAATTGCATTGGTCTGCTTTTTTTTCTCTTAACAGTGCCTGGTCTCTATAAAGAAAGGGACGTCTGTGTTTTGTAGGGGGGGGGGGGGGGGGGGGGGGGGTTCTCTGAGCTCAATACAGGATTTTACCTTTTATTCTTTCGTGCCTCATTGCGCTTTAGACAAAAGCACAAAACCAGCTGAGACTGGATTTACTTTAAATTTAGAACAGGTCTTATTTTACCTGGACTAAGGCTCGGCGGTTTTACAGGACAAAATGAATACAGAATCAACAGAAATACTCAGAATGTTCCCAATTAATTATGTATAACAAATACATGGGATATTTTAAAAAGCAAATCCCACACCGAGATCCCAACACTTTCCTTTAAGATGACTAGAAGTATTGTCTCTTCTCATCAAGGAAATAATTGCTTTTCAAAATTCAAATGTGTTTTCACAACACAAAGAATTAAAAATTAGACACACTGTATATTAGCTATCAAACTGCAGTAGCTGAATGCATTTAGAGATGTGAATTAGGTCTGCATCATATGAGGAAAGCTGATTTTTTGATTTTTGTATCTCAGCCTCTGAGATTTCTACATGCTGTTCGCTCCAACTGGTCAAACATTGCTGCCATACAGATGGTGAATGCATGACAAGTCTTTGTGTATTCAGGCAGTTCTTTTTTTTTAAACCAAACATAGCACAAAAAAACACACTTGTATTTTGTCTTTCGTTTGTTGAGGCTGCATTTCTGCACAAAACAAAAAAGGAAAATCAGGCGTTTGCTGCACGACTAAAGAAGACGTAATTCTCTTCAAACAGCTTCATTTTAACCCACCCCAGTTCAGTCCTCTAATGGCAACATAAGCATTTTGCAAGCTGGATGGATGTAAAGAGTTGAGAGTTTGCATCCAATGAAAACAGTGGTAACAACAGTTGTCATGGAGATCAGGTTGAAATGGCTTACTTCCTGTTTCAGCAAATGCAATCAGCATTTTTGGACCCAAATTTCTTTAATTCTCATATAAAGCACATTTTATAAAGAGCTCTTGTGACTAAAAGCTTAATATATGTATTCAAAATATACATATATTAAAAAAATATAATAGAAAGTGAGCCTTTGAGCGCTCATAATTAGTTTTGTCCATTTTCAATTGCTCCAAAATATTCAGCAATCAGATATTGGTGTATTATCTATTTTTCTGGTTTGGGGTCAATAAACCAGTAATGAAAATACTAGAGTGTTTTTTTTGTTTTGTTTTTATTGTTGGTTTCGAACAGAAAAAAAAAAAAAACAACCTAGCACTTTTAGTATGACATCCAACCAAGCCGCCCTTTGCAATTTTGCAAATATTGGTATCAGTACGATCATTAAAGTTGATATATTGTGCATTTATCTGAAAATTTGTTGAGTTTGGGCGGAAGAAACAATTACTGTTTTTAAGGCTCATTGCTTTACTGGATTTTTTTCTTCTTATTGAGTTTTTTTTTTTTTTTTTTTTTTTTTTTTTTTTGCTGCACCAAAAGCAAATTTTCTATAAATAAAAACAAACATCAGAGACTTGCTAGCTCTATTTAGGTGCAGCGAAATGTAAAATGTCATCCTTTCGTAATTAGTGCACCCAAGTAGTGAAGTGTGGATTTAGCCACTCAAGCGATGCTTCTCCTCGCAGCTAAACAGAAAAGCGTTTAAAGGACTTTTAATGAGCTCATCAGCACCTAAGCCCTGAATCCTCTTCAGCTGCTGGAAATGACTGACCTGATGAAATTTGCCTTGAAACCAAGACATTAAAAACACCCTGAGGCTGCTGAAAATGCACAAAACAGCAAAAGGGTTGGAAGAATAAAGCTGGTTTGCTGAAATGATTCCCTCTCTCCTCCTATGTGCTCTCAGGAGGAGATTGAGACCCAGAAGCAGCAGCACGATGCCAGAGTGATGGCCATCAGAACAGAGGAGAAACAGAAGATGGACAAGATGGCGGATGACTTGGATCAGAAATGGAGAGATGCTCTGCGGTGAGGAAAAAAATTGTCTTCTAACTCATCCCTGTCAAACCCCCCTTCCACTCATGAGATGATATAAAACTGAAGTCTTTATCTAATAGTATTTAGTTTTACTTTTATACTCTCTCTCTTATTCTGTTATGTGACCACTTTTGCTGTAATGCTTCTGCTGCTGTAACACCACAATTTCCCCATTGTGGGACAATAAAGAGATTTTAGATTTTCTATTCTGTTTTATGATGTGATGTGTGTGAATCTCCTTAGGCAAGCTGGAGGATACAAACATACAATAATAATAATAATATGATAATAATACAGACACAGCTCAATAGATTACATGTCTCAAAATATAATTTATATCAGTAATTTAACTGAAACGAATAAAAAAACAGGTATAAGATGTCCATTTTATTTCTAAGGAAATCATCATTTAATATCCAAATTTATTGTACCAGTAAACACCAATAAAAATGTATTTGTAACATATATTGTGAAGCAGGAATTCGCAAACCTCCAAAAAATGGATAAGTGAATCAGTAATGGCTAAAGGGTGCTATATGCAAGCATACTATTAATAAAAGGTTGAATAAAAAAAAGGTATAGCAGTTGCTCAAATTAAGCCAAATTATAATTTTCACTGAAACTGAATTTTAAAATTCCCCCAGCTGAAAGATGTAATTTTCTAATTGCATTTAAAATATGTCACAAGGTAAGGAATGTATTAAAATCTTCTTCAGGGAGGAAGTACGTTTGCTGAAGGAAGAGCTGAGTGAGGAGTATGAAGCCGACAAACAGGCAGCTCTCAACCAGCTTTCCCAGCAGAAGGAGCTGGAGCTGATGGCCGCAAGAGAGGGCTGGCAGAGGAAAGTGGAAGACCTGCTTGAACAGGTAAAACATGATGAAGGCGAACCCTCAGAATATATCGATGTAAAAAGTTCTGCGCTATGCCTGCACCACCATGATCCTTACACATCTGGAGGTCCTTCCCAGAGTACACTATACAGGCCAGTAGATGTTTAAGATGGGTTTTGTCTGATATCTGCTTACAATGGTCATGTAATGCAGCATGTGACTTTACATGCATTATGGTTATGCCCTGGCTTTTGTGTGGCCTTTGCCTGCAGTCAGGTGGAGGGATGCCGGGGCATGTCTGGCGCCTGGGCCCGCTTGCTAGCATACCGTACTTGGGCTGTGGAGCGGGCTGCCTGGGTTGCAGCCCGTGAATGGAGGACAATATGAGTGTGGAGGCAAGAGAGTTACTGTGATTGACTGGGGGTGAGGCAGACCCTTTATGGGTTTGGCTTCCTCTTTCCTGTCTGTTCTCCTTCTCCTCCATTTTTATGCTGTTTATCCCTTTCCATCTTCCGTGTCTGTTGTATATGATTTTATTCCCAAAGTAATTTCCGATAAAGTTTCATATATACGTACCAAGCGGAACCTTATGTTCACCACCATAATGGCCTGCTTGTGAAAGCAAATCTGTTGGGCCATTATCTAGCTTTGGGACATCAGTTCCCAGAGCTATATTGGCAAAACATGACACACACAAAAACAAAATTTATTTTCTTTACAATTTTTCCACCCGTTTCCACAAAATTGAAATTGAAAATTACAACTTATTCCACAACTAATCCATCAACCATCTTTTGTTGCATTAAATAAATCTCAAAAAAATTAAAATTGAATTGGAGAAATCCAAGTTTAAGGTTTCCTCATCCAAACATGGCTCAGAGGGACTGTTATACAGAAATAGGCCCACAGCATCACTCATCCTCCACCATACTTATAAGGAAGAATGAAGACATTTTCAGTATAATTATTTTGTTCTATACCAAACCAGGCAGGTGTATTTCTAAAAAAGATCATCTAAACAAATTCTGTATTTTCCAGTTGAAGTTCTAGTTGAATTAGGTAAACTGAAGGTGTTTCTTTGTATGGTGATGGGATGGGGTATGCTTTTTTTTCTGTCATGCCTTTCCAGTCATCCTGTTGGCATTTAGTTAGTTTCTAATGGTTACTTTTGTTGTCTTCCTTACTGTCCTTCTCATTGTCCATCATAGCAAGATAAACATGAATGATTAAAAATCAAAATGTTTTTTTTTCCTACCAAATCCGATTAATCTTTTTTTTTTTTTTTTCTCACTCAAGTTAAATGATAAAATGACAAATTACATATATTGGGTTAAAAAACTAACTTTTATTTCAATTATCCTCTTTGGGAGGTGAGGTTAATTTGTAGGCCAACAAAATTTAACAAATGAAAAATGTTTATAAAATAATCAAATGACATGGAGAACTAGGTTATCAGTTATAAGTAAACATCTAAGAACAAAAAGTAATGACCTAAGGTCACCGTAAGCTCTGGAAGACTAAGGAGTAGATTGGTTTAAAAACAGATTTTTACAAAACTTACATCTCCATAAACAAAACATTTGATTAATTGATTTTATTGATTAATTGCCCATCCCCACATTTCTATTATCTCACTGACGGTAGGTTTTTAAAATGCTACCAAATTGAAAAGTTTCTCTAAGCTATGTGGCTTGTTCTATTGTCTTTCCATTTTTAACAGTTGTGAAGGGGGAAATAATTTTTATGTGGAATCATATTTATACTGATTTAAAGAAACTGTAGGAATATAGATACATGTTCTTTAAATTTAGATTTTTTTTATTACAGATCCTATGCATCTAAAGTAAGTGCACAAGCTGTGAATATAAATCTGTTTTTGGACCAGACAGGAGCTGAAAGGAGAGATTTCTTTATGCTCTGTCAGAATGAAATAATGACCTTTGCCCCTATGTCACTCCAGAGCCTCTGTGAGCGACGGCTTCTCTCGATGTCTAAACCTGTTGACATCCTGAGGCAAATATGCTTGGAGGAAAAATACACGTGAGTGAATAATCTCACAGTGACAGACTTAGGGATTTTACGCACTTGATAGCAAAACTACAAATTATATTCTCAAGCGGTAATGAATTAGTTATAAAAATGAGGGATTTAATTTAGCTTGTGTTCCTTCCTCAGAGCGACACATTAAAGCTTGTTTTTTAATTAGTTTTCCCAGAGCAGCATGCTTTAACGGTGTGACCACATGCTTATGTAAGCTGCATACAAATGCAGTAAAAGACCTCGAGTGTGTGTATGTTTGAAACCGATAGTCTTTGTTTTGGCGTGTCCCTACAGCTACTGTCGAAATGGAAATTAGTAGAAGCAGGACTGTTTGACGTGTTTGGGTCATTTTGAAGCGAAAACAGTTTCAATTCCCCTCCTACGTTCATGGCGGTGTTCATAGTACGCACACAGCCGTTGGGGGGATTCAGCAGTAACAGCAACTTCAAAGAAACCCCCCCTTGGATGTTACCTGAGTGCCGCTGGACACCAGATAAACATTTTCTGTTAACTACCAGTCAGGCGTCAACAATTTCAGATGCATTTTAAGAGCTTTTAACCCTATATAAGGAAAGTTACTGTTTTTGATCACTTGCATATACCTTACAAATGGAGTCCCCCCATCCCTCAGTGAGGTCTAGAAACACAAAATCTATTTACAGCCGTGATTCAGCTACATGGCTGTACATCTTATTTAGGCATTTGACCAATTAGATGAACCCTTGAATGATATATTACCTACTGGAAGTTGGGGGAAAAAAGTTAAGTCAAGAAAGAAAGGTACAAAGCTAATTGAAAAGTTAAAAAGTAAAGCAAAAAAGTTAATAAGCCAGGTTAAAAAAGTAAAAAATGTTTTTGCCAGTACCAGCATTAATGTATCTTAGGTTATGTTGTACCAAAAAAAAATTTTTGCATTCTTGTTTTTCATGAATTTCTTATAAAAGCACTTTTGTGATTTTTCATATTATATTCAGTCAAGTTGGCGTTTCTTGTTATTACATTGAAATACATTTTTGCCATTAAAATATCCATATTTTTTGAATGTTTCAAAGGTAATAAGGTCTTGTTCTGGATTCCAATAACACTATTGGGTTGGAATTTTGATTTTTGAAGTATTTCACTGAGTGCCATATAAAGGGTTAAACATTTGATGACACAATTATTTCATTTTGCAGAAAGCTACATAGAGATTAATTTTGGTTAGAGTCTATAAACGTTGTGAAAAATACATTTTTACCACATGGATAGCTTGTTAATTGTCAATCTCAGTCTATTTTTTTTTTAATTATTTTTCAATATAGATTTCTTTTACCTGTTTGACTCCTGCTTTTTGAAACTTTCATTTCTTTTTGTGCATCTCAACTAGGGCTCAAACTAATGATTATTTTGTAAATCCATTCATCTGTTGTTGTTTTTTTTTATGATTAATCGATTAATAATTGGATAGCCAAAGGTTCCTTAAAGAAGATTTTCTATGAAATTAAACCAGTTGAAAATAAAACTTTTCCACTAGAGGAGTTCTGGATAGAGCATATTGACAGATTAATTTTTTTCTTATCTTAGATGCAAAATGTTTTTATATATTTTTTTTACAATTCTGGTATAATTACTCCTGTAACTGGGTCGCTCTGTCAGCTAAATGCATATTTTACAGTCTCTATACCCCATTTAACGATTAATCGATTGCTAAATTAGTTGAGGATCATTGTTTCAGCCCTAATCCCAACCTCATTGCCTCCTTCAAACATGCCCAGCGTTGCTTTTTGCATCCAGATTTTGCTTGAAATACCTACCTATCGGTGCTTTTAATGTCCCATTTTTAAATATTAAAAGCATGAAATGAAATGTGGGGTAAAATAAATGCAACAGCATTTTCATGTCAAACAAAATTATCATACCATAGACTTAAAGTTTCAAAAATGGGGTTGAATGACATTAAGAAATGGGCTCTGATAATCTAAATTAATGTATTTACTTGCTTTGATAGTAAAACTCTAACTTAATTCTAGATGATTTCACATTCTCTTTTATTTTCTTAGCACATAAGTTTTATATTTGACTGTTTTTAAGTGAGAATTTTCTCATATTAAGAATAAAATCTGTGAGAAATAAAGTCTGGATTTTATTTAATGATCAGTTGTCTGTGAAAATCATACATGGTCCACCTGTAGCAAATTTTTAAATAGTCTCTTTTCACTTTTCAGAGTATTTTATTGGCGGATTCACAACCCTGAAAATGAAATTATAGAAACAAGAACAGCTCCTCCGTTTCCTTGCAATTTGGAAGGAAAATTGTCCTTGCGGATGACTCTGCAGGATATTTTCTCTTTCCTATCACCGACTAGCAAACTGATTTTAAATTTAAACGGACAAACGTTGCTTCATCCCTGGAACAAAAATGGAATTAGGAACTTTTCTCATTTTCTAATGTCTCTGCTAATTGTATCTGCCAGCTTGCTCGTAAAAGCCATGATTATGTTGAGTCATAGGACACATTTCTACCTTTGAATTCATGCTTAAAGGCTGAAAATAACATCAAACAGTTTCACAGTCCACACAGATAAAGAGCTTATATTTCTTTTTTTTTTGTTTCTGTTTTTACCTGAGACACTGAATGTTAATCTGGATCTTTTTCCAACTTAATTATTCTCAGCAACACTCTAAACAACAAAGCTTTCCCTGACACCTGAACTTTACTCAGAATAAATTAGAAAGAGTTATTTTTCACTTGTGATACCAGAAGGAAAAGGTCTTTTTTGTTTACACATATTATTAAAAAGCTGATATCTGATTTAGACGCTTTAGAGATTTAGCATTAGTATTTGGATTGATATTTGGAAAAAGACCCAAAGGAAAAAAAACAGCCATTCTGGGTCATTCAGAGTCATTTTAGGTAAAAATATATATTTAAATGCACAATGCAGTAAGCACATTTTACAGCTTGATTAAGTATTCACAGCCTTTTCTTTTTATTTTAACTAATCGTTAACTAAAGT